CAGTCAGAAGAGGGTCCCCAGTCTTAGAGCGACAACCAGGAAATAAATTCTGCGCACATCTGAGTGATCTGGGAAGTGGATCATCCCCTGTCAAGCCTCCAGATGAGACCCCAGCCCTGGCTGACCCCATCATGGCAGCCTGAGCAGAGGACACAGCTACACCGTGCCTGGACTCCCGACCCTTGGACACTGTGAGATGCAAATGGGTGCGTGGGTTTAAGCCACTATGTTTGTGGGAACTGGTTACAAGTCACGGATAGAAAATTAATCCCTGACTTGCATGTCTGGCTGCCAGACGTGTCCACGTACATCTCCCCCGGGTGCTCAAACCCACACTAAGGGAAGGGAAGTCTTCATCTTCCCCTAAAACCTGCCCCTCCTGCATCTTCCCACCTCAGGTAAGGGCGGCTCCATCCTGTCAGGATGTTGGGCTAAAAATCCTGGTGGCAGCTTCAGCTCCCCTAGTTCCCTCACCCCCTACATCAAAACTGCAGTAAACTGCTGCTTCCAGCTTCAGAATAGACCTGGAGCACGGCCAGTGATCAGCTTTCCTTGGACCACGTAGGCCACCCCCAGCATCCGTCCCTACCATCCGTTCCCACCATCCGTCCCCAGCATCCGTCCCAGCATCTGTCCCCAGCATCCGTCCCTACCATCCGTTCCCACCATCCATCCCCAGCATCCGACCCAGCATCCATCCCAGCATCCGTCCCCACTGTCCATTCCCACCATCCGTCCACAGCATCCATCCCAGCATCCGTCCCCACCATCCGTCCCCAGCATCTGTCCCCAGCATCCATCCCAGCATCTGTCCCCACCATCCATCCCAGCATCCGTCCCCAGCATCCGTCCCAGCATCCATCCCACCATCCGTCCCAGCATCTGTCCCCAGCATCCGTCCCAGCATCCGTCCCAGCGTCTGTCCCCAGCATCCGTCCCACCATCCGTCCCAGCATCCGCCCCCACTGTCCATTCCCACCATCCGTCCACAGCATCCATCCCAGCATCCGTCCCCAGCATCCGTCCCCAGCATCCGTCCCAGCATCTGTCCCCAGCATCCGTCCCCACCATCCATCCCAGCATCTGTCCCCACCATCCGTCCCCAGCATCTGTCCCCAGCATCCGTCCCAGCATCCGTCCCCAGTATCCGTCCCCACCATCCATCCCAGCATCCGTCCCCACCATCCGTCCCCAGCATCCGTCCCCAGCATCCGTCCCCAGCATCCGTCCCCAGCATCCGTCCCCACCATCTGTCACCAGCATCCGTGCCAGCATCCGTCACCAGCATCTGTGCCAGCATCCGTCCCCACCATCCGTCCGCAGCATTTGTCCCCAGCATCCCTCCTGCTCCAGCGCCCTCCCCTCCGCCCTGGTCTCCCCGCGCCGCCCATCGTCTGTTCTCCCTGCAGCCGCCAGAGGGCACCTGTGAGCACCGAGTCGGGCATGCCCTGCTCTGCCCACAGCCCTCCATGGCTCCCACCTCCCACGGGGTAAAAGCCCGAGTCCTCCCCTGGGGCACAGGACCCTGCATGACCTTCCTCATCCCCTCCCTGCCCTGCCCTCCCCTCCGTCCCTCTGTCCCTCTCACTCTGCTCCAGCCACACGGGACTCCTCGCTGTTCCTCCCACACTACAGGCTGCCCCAGGGCCTTTGCACGGGCTGCGCCCCTCACCTGGTGTGCCTCCCCAGATGTCCCCACAGCTCCTTCTTCACCTCCTTCAGGTCTCTGCTGTGACGTGACCTTCTCAGTGAAGCTTCCTCCGCCTGCCTCACTTCAAGTCGCACACGCTCACACCTGCAGTAAGCACTGGCTGAATTTACAATCATAACAGCTGTACTGTGAGCCGTACCCGCGGCTTCCCAACCTCACACCGAGCCCTGCAGCCCCTCCGAGGACACGGTGGGTGGTGACATCCCTCACCCCGGGGCCTGCAGCTGGGAGCCCCGCCCCTCACCCCAGTCCAGGCGTACTTATTCTATTTTTCTGATTTGCTCTCTTCTGTGAAGGAATCAACTTGGACTAAAAACATGGCTCATTTGCATGTGCTTTGAATAACTTTGCATCTCGTTTACAAGACTCTTCCTTGGCAGTAGTTGAAAAGCTCTGGGCTGAAAATGGAGTTAAGCTGGCTGGTTATTTCAGTGGTTAGAGCATGGTGCAGATAACACCAAGGTCCAGGGTTCCATCCCCGTGCCAGGCAGCCAAAAAAGAAAAAAGAAAAAAAGGGGGGTCAGCCGGGGACCCGTGGGCTGGAGGGGGCTGCACCCAGACTGGTGCAGTTGCTGGCCTTTGGTGTCCCTAAAGCTGCTCTGTTGACTCCACTGGCCATCCCATCCTGTCTCACTCTGTGTTAGTTCTTGGTGCCTTCCCACATCACAGAGGGGAAACAGGCAGGCAGGGCCAAGTGGAACCTAGATGTAGAGTCCTGTCCCTGTGAGGGAGGCAAGTGTCACAGTCCACATCACAACAGGGAAACTGAGTCAATTGGGGCTGACTCCCTGCTGGAACCAGGGTCTCTGGCTGTCTGCACTCCATGGCTGTCCGATGTGTCCTGCCCCTGGGGACCTGGCATGGGGTGGGTTGGGCTTCAGGGAACAACTTCCAGGCCCTTGTCCCTCTCTCTGCCTGGCCCTGGGTGTCCAAGGCTGATCTCAGAGGTGGTATCTCTGGGCTCCTGCATGTCTGGCTGGTTTTGGCGAGCGGGAGGCACCGACTGACAGGAGAGAGGGGTGGGGGTCAGGCCTGCAGGCCAGGGGGCCCCAGGTGACTGAGGATGGAGCTAGCAGTGGGCTGATTTGTCAGCAAAGGCGTCCCAGGCGGAGGCTCCTGCAGAGGCCCAGAGGAGGGAACCATTCTTGGGCTTCAAGGATCTGCGAGCAGCCGATGCGGCCAGAGTGGAGTTAGTGTGGGGGGGGGGTCAGGACTGTGCAGGGCCTCGTGTGCCACAGCAAGGGCTTGGGCTTTATACTAAGGGCTACAGGAATCCACAAGAGGATTTTTTTTTTTTTTTGTCATTTTTGAGACCGGCCGCACCGCGCTCAGCCAGTGAGTGCTGTGAGCGCACCGGTCATCCCTATATAGGATCCGAACCCTCCCCGGGAGCGCTGCTGCGCTCCCAGCGCCGCACTCTCCCGAGTGCACCACGGGCTCGGCCCCACAAGGGGATTTTAAACATTCCCAAGAGTTGAGCTGGGATTAGAACCGAGGAGCACTTGACCCTAAGCTTTGATCTAAAATCTGAGTCAGGCTGGTCAGCTCAATTGGTTAGAGTGCAGCCTTTTAGCACCAGGATCAAGACTTCAGATCCCAATACCAGCCAATTGCCAGATAAAAAGGATATAGGTTCAATAAAATATGAGTTGGAGAGTCCTGGGTTCCAGTCCTGGCTCTGCTGAGTTACTGAAGGACTGTGCATGTCACTTCCCTCTCTGAGCCTCAGTTTCCCCATCTGAAACAACAGAGGGGACCTCTGAAACAGCCCTGCCCTTAATGAGATGCTGTGATAATTAAACAGAGGACCGCAAAGAGCCTGGGCACTGGGATGTGTTACACGGGACACAAGTGCTCAGCAAAAGCCGGGGACATAGTAAATGCTCAGTAAAGAACATGTCATTGGTCCAGAGATGGGGGTCTCTCCTTCGGAGGCCTCATATAGGCTGTATCATCCCTTCAATGTCGGCGAGGCCTGCAGTGACGTTCCACTTTCTTTCCTGATAGTCATTCGCGATCCTCCTATTTTCTAGATCAGCTAGTGAGAGATTTATCAATTTTTTTCAACCTTTTAAAGAAGTGATTTTTGGGGGAGGGCTTTGTTAATTATTTCTGTAGTTTTCTTTTTGTGGATTTCTACTGTTATTTTTATGACATCCTTTCTCTTATTTTTCTAGCTTCTTCGTTGGAACCTTAGATCATTGATATTAAGATCATCCTTCTTTTCTAATATGAACATTTAAAGACATCATTCAACCTCTGAGCACTGCATTGGCTGCATCCCATGTCTTCTGACATATTCTCTTTTCACAATTATTTATTTAAAAATTTTTCTGATTTCTCTTGTGATTACTTCTTTGATGCATGAGTTATTTAGAAGTGTGTTGTTAAAAAAAAGAAGTGTGTTGATCAATTTCCAAATTTTGGGGGGAGGAGGGCTGAGGTTTTGGATATCTTATTGTTATTGATTTCTGACGTAGTTCCTTTGTCATCAGATATTATAGTCTGTACGTTTCAAATTTTTGATATTCCATGAGGCTCGGTTTTTGACCTTTTACATAGACTATAACAATTTGATTAAAGGGTTTTTAAAAACTACACAATGAATCAAAATTACATTGCAAGGCAAATTGTGTAGTGTGTGAATTACATCTCAATAAAGCTGTTACAAAAATGACAGGGCAGAAGGTCCAACAATACACAAACAAACAAGAATACTATGGAAGTCACGGGAATTTGAATTCTACGCATCAGAATTTCCCTGAGCCCCATTTTGGAGCCTGACACAGTGGTAGCCTTCAGTAGAGGCAAGGAAATAGGATTTATTTATGGAGTAATTGCCTGTAGACTGCAGGGTGTCCTGGAGGACACCCCCATCACACCTCTCTGCCCTTGCCCTGCCCCAGGGCCTTTGCACAGGCTGTTCCCCTATCCTGAGGAACTCTTTGCTCAGATGTCCACGTGGCTCCCTCCCTCCCCTATTTCCAGACTTTGCTCAAATCTTACTTTTTTTTTTTTTTTCCTTTTTTGTCTTTTTTCGTGTCCGGCAACGGATCGCAACCCTCGGTGCCGCGCCCGCACCTCGCTCAGCCAGTGAGTGGCCGGTCTGTATGTGGGATCTGAACCCTCGGCGGGAGTGCCACCGCGCTCCCAAGCGGCGCACTGTAGCAGTGCGCCACCGGGCAGCCCCAAATCTTACTTTTTAAATGTGGCTCATACTAAGACTCAGCCTGCACCCACATAGCCATCCTGGGCCCCCAAGCCCACTCTACTTTCCATGTCATTTAACACCTTCTAATATTCTACAGAATATGTTCATTTGTTACATTTATTGTTTATTTTCTCTTGGCTCTCCTGAGAACATCAGCCCCTGTCCCATCCCTACTAGCCCAAACAGAGCCTTGTACACAGTAGGTGTTCAATAAGTGCTTGCTGGGTGAATGGAGGAATAAATGAGTGAATGCTCCTCAGCCCAGAGTTGCAACTCGCAGAGTTGTGAACCTGCTGTGTGACCCTGGCCTGTGCCTCAGTTTCTTCAGCTGTAGAAATGGGGCCATGCCACCTGCCACCTCTCCAGTCCCTCCTGCTGCAAGGCTGTGGGTGTCTGGTTTGCAGCTCTGCTCCCTGGGGCCTGCTCTGGCTCCCGCTGCCCAGCTCAGCCAGCTCCCAGGGGACCCACTCTGAGGACACTGGATTCTTTCCTGGATCATCCAGCCACCTGGCTGACACTCGATCCCAGCCCCACTTCCAGGTCAGCGTCCGGCCGACCAGCCCGGCTTGGACCAGGGCCCCAAGACTCCCTGCTGAGGGACAAGGGGCCGTCTGTGTGGTCACGGTCACGGGAGGGTGTGGGTGGCCAGGGCTCTGCCAACACAGGCGGAGGCCGTGAAGGTTGGGGACAGTGCCTGGGCCCGTGGCCGGCAGAGCTGCTGCGGCTGAGGAAACGGCACCAGGCCCCTTGGGTGCTGCCCACAGCCCCTCACCTCTCACCATGCGGACCCTCAGCTGTGACCCCGCTCCACGACTGACCACCGTGCCCCTGGGCCGAAGAGCAAGCGAGTGCCAGATTCCGGAGACCGGCCTGAGGAAGTCCTGCAGGATGGCCACTCTGGAGAACGGTGTGTGCAGGCCATGGGGGAGGTGTGGCCATGGGTGGTGGGACTCTTGCTGTTCCACCCTCCCTACTGGGGCTTCTGGAATGTTCTGGGGCCTAGCAGGAGGCAAGGGTTCAGGCACGTCCCTGCCCTTCCGTAGTCCTCAGTTTTCCTTCCAGTAGGATGAGGTGGCACCTGTCTCCATTCAACAAGAACTGTGTACCCGGAAGGCGGACACCTGTCTAGGTGCTCAGGGTGCCGCGTGGACAGAGCGGCAAGGATCCCGGGGGAGACAGACAAGAGCAGACACGCCAGAAACGTCTACGTGTATTGATCAGTGACGGTGTCCAGCAAAGAGATGGGGCCAGCATGTGCAGGGTTAGGGATGAGCCACTCTGCTGGGGGACCATGGTCACTGCAAGATCTCGGTGACTTGCAGTGAAAGATGCTTCCGTTTCCCTGTCTGTAACACAACCACTTGAGTCAGATTCTGTGGCTGCTGCGTGCTGTAGCCGATTCTGGGGGTGTGCCTGGCCCTTGTGGCAATGACGTTCTTGTAGAGACCACTGAACATCGAAACTGTGACAGTGTATCTCTGTGCCTGGGCCTTGGTTTCCTGTCTGTGCCCTAAGGCGGCAGGTGGCTGCTGGTCCCCAGCCCCTTCCCACTCTGTGATTCATGTTTGACTCACAATGTGAGTGTCACACCTTGTCCCTTGGGGGGGTGGCAGCCTCCTGTTCCCCCCACTGCTGCCATGGAGGGTGGGTGGGAGCCCTGGGTGGGGCTCAGGAGTCAGGCCCAGGGCCTCTTCCCCCGACCTCTCGGGGTACCTAGCCCCGGGCCGTGACCTCAGGGCTTTGGGCTGCAGGCTCGGGGCCAGGCTTGTACATCCTGCCGTCCACTGTGGGCTACGTCAACCACGACTGCACCAGGGTGGCCAGTCCTGCCTACTCGCTTCTCCAGAGGCCCAGTGAGGGTAAGGCCATGCACGGAGGGTGAGTGGGAGACGGGGAGCTGAGGGCCTTCCTGACCCTCCAGCCTCCCCCTGGGAGCATGTCTGGGTCTCCTCAGCCCTGAGATTCAGACCCCCACTGAGTGAGGCAGGAAGCAGACAGGGCTGGGCTACAGCCTGCTGGATCTCCCACTTGCTGTGTGACCTCAGACAAGCCGTTGTCCCTCTCTGGTCCTCTGTTTTCTCATTGAGAGACAGAGCGAGGGGAGGAGTGGCATGCAGTGATTGAGGCCCGTATTCGCCTTCCTGGTTGTGTCATTCTTTGCTGCTTGACTTTGGGCCAGTTGCTTAAGGGCTGTGTGCCTCAGTTTCCACCTCTGTTGAATGCTAATAACAACAACAACATTAACCATAATAACACAATCCTTACAGGGTTGTCGTGAGCCCTGAATGAACATCAGATGCCTGGAGACATTCTCATAGAGGATTCGGTGTCTTTAAGGTGGCAGCACGGTACCTGCTATCAGTAGGTGCCCAGCGGCATGGGGCTACGGAGCCATCAGTTTCTCCAGCAGCAGGGCGGGGCTCCCGGGCCCTGCCATCTCACAGGTTGTTGTGAGCATAGAGCGGACATTCCTTGTTGTTTGGACAGGCAGGGATGGCGGTGCTGGTGACCCCACCTCTGTGGTGTCCCCTTTGCTCCTGTCTAGAACGGGTGCAGGGGAGGTGACGGACGGCCTGAAGTTGGAGGGATGACGCCGGCACGTGAGCGCCTCTCGCTTTCATGAGTGGTGCTACCACGTGCCGGCAAGTCCGCCAGTGTCGTCTCAACGCTTGCACATTCCAGCGGCCTGTTTTCTAGAGCCACTCGGAGGTCCCAAGTGGGCCGGGTGGGTGGTTGGAAGGCTCCTGTGCAGGCAGTTTGGCTCGTGTGGACAGAGGCCGACTGGGAGGGTGGCTGGAGAAGGGGCAGGGCCAGCACCCTCTCCTCAGCCTTCGGGATCAGCAGAAATCCCAGGCTAAACAGAAACAGGACTTGGGAGACTGCAAGGGGCTCCCGGAGGCAAACGAAGGCTTTAGCATCACATCTGTCCCCAGGAAGGGGCGAGGAGAGGAAGGGGTTAAGAGCTTAGCTTTGGGCCCAGATAGACCGGGGTTCCAGGTTCAGATCCCAGCCTCAGGACATTTCCTAGGACAGAGGGACAGAGACAACCTGGGGAGTCAGGTGGAAAGGGGATAATGCAAGATTTGCTGAAGGCCCAGGGTAGCCTTCTTGGAGACGGCAGCGTGGGACCCGGCCTTTGTAGGGTGAGTAGGAGCTTGGTGTAGCCCCCGGGAGAGGAAGGGGACTCCAGGTAGAGCCTGCAGCACAGGCGGAGGCCTAGAGGTGGGCCTGTCATGCTGAGTTGGGATGCCCTTGTCTGTCACGGGGACAAAAGAAGCTGGAGCATCTGAGGGTGCAGGGCTTCAGCACGTTGAGTTCGTGCCGAGCGACCTTTGAACCTCTGTATCCATTTCTGCAAAGCGGAGGCAAAAACAGTGCCTCCCCTGCTGGGTTACCATGAGATGCCGGGAGAGAAGAGTTGGTCTGCACCAGTGTGGCCAGGTATACACAAAATTGCCACGTGACTCTGAGAAGTTCCCCAGCCACTTCCAGTCCCGGGGGATCAGAGCATCTGCCCAGGAACTGGGAGGGAGCAGCCAGCGAGCCCGTGTTAGGGGCCCGCAGCCTGTGTGCAGATAGTTGTGCCCGTGATGGGTGTGCCTGGGAGCCCAGATCAGGGGCACACCTGTGCACACCCGTGGACTCATCAAGGTGAGACCGAGACTTGGGTCACCTTGGCCCCTCCTCGGTGGCTTCTCATGTATGTGTTCAGTGTGTGTGCACGGTGCACGTGTCTATGCACGCACACGTAGTATGTAAACCGATCAATACCTGTCAAGCTACTACGCACAGATGCTCGCGCATATATATCTGAATGTGCTTGAAAATAGTGGCAGTGGGGACTGCGGTAACCGTTCCCAGTTATGAAACGTCAGGCACTGGAATCCCTTCCTTCCATCGCTCAGCTTACTTTTTGATCTTCTCAACCTACTAATGAGGAAATGAGACACTGAATCCTCTATGAGAATGTCTCCAGGCATCCAAATAACTTGCCCAACGACACATCTTCCTAAGAGGCCCTGCTGGGATCTAAACACGGCCCAACTCCGAACTCCCCTCTGAAGCATGTTACGTACCGACAAGCCCGTGCGCTGAAGTCCCCTCCTCAGAGCCCGGTTACTCTTACTTTACGTACAAGTCTAGCAAACCTTGAGCTGGTTCCCTGGCCCAGAGCGGAGGAGAGGTCTGAGGGGTGGGGACAGCTGCACACAGGTGGCAGAGCATGGGACCAAGGAAAGGCTGTAATCGCGAGGAGACAGAGGTCAATGAGACGGAGCATTGCAGAGACTGAGGCCCCCAGCTCAGTGCCACCACGCCTCGGCGCCGGACACTGCTCTCCAGGACGGGGCAGGGGGCGGTGTCTGGAGCGGGTGGAAACGCTCGGGGCTAAACAGAGGCGCGGAAGCTGGTGGCGGGGCAGGAACCGTCTTCAGAGGCACCCTCAGGACTCTGCTCCTCTCCCCAGCACCTCTGCAGGACACCAGCCCCGGACCAGTCTACTTCCTGGACCCCAAAGTCACCCGCTTTGGCCGCAGCTGCACCCTTGCCTACTCCATGCAGGGCCGGGGCAAGCCTCGGGGTGAGTGTCCGCCTCTGCTCTCCTCTGGTCTCTCATCCGTGGGGTTCTCAGGACTTCTGTGTCTTTGGAATGATAGAATCCAAGGGACTCAGATGAAGGGCTGCGACTTCCGTGCCCACAGGAAAACCTGAGTGAGTGAAGTGGGACAGGGTCACGACGACGAGAGTGTGGCCAGCTGCAGCCCTCCCTTTAAGGGCTCTCAGAGTCTCATTGCACCTAGAGCACCTGACTCGATTACCTGACTCCATTCTCCCATTCACCCACCCTTTCCTCTGCTGACCTGTTGCCCATCTAACCCGTCCAGCAGCCTACCCACCCACCCACCCACTCACCAGCCATTCACCCACCCTTTCCTCTGCTGACCTGTTGCCCATCTAACCCGTCCAGCAGCCTACCCACCCACCCACCCA